ATATCTGAGATAGACGGTACTCGGGCGTCCATGTACTTAGTGGGGCGGCCAATGAACTGATGCAAAGATACTTGGAGCGTAAGCTCAAGCAGATCAGCGCCGAATGTGCCTGACGCTGAGTCGCAAGAAATATCTGCCCAGCAAACCTCTGGGCGCTTAAAGTCGCCCATCACCAAACACTTGTTTGCGGACTGGGAGCGGATGAAGTCAAATACCTCTTTGGATACGCTCCCATGGCTTTTATACACAATTACAACTGTAATCTGAGCCGAGGATGTGCTAATAACAGCCGACAGAGCTTCAACAGTTTTGTCTGCCGACTGGAATAAGCAAGTCCTCAGAACGTCAAGTTCACAGCTCACATACAGAGCGACGCCCCCTCCCTGCCGGCCAGCAGAGCGATCGCATCTAAATAGTGCGTAGCCAGATAGATGTACTTCACCATACGTGATGTCCTGGGATAGCCACTTCTCAGTGAATGCGAGTATATCGAGATGAGACCCATCTACAAGCAGACCTAACTCGTACACCTTATTCTTTAGGCTGCGCACATTGCTTAGCACTATCTGAAGGAATTCGTTAAATCCAGACCTGGGTCGTGCGCTACCAGAATTGGCAGTGGTAGGGCGGAAAATGACCGCCGGCTGACCACCCGAAAACCCGCTAACCGGAGACCTTGTTCACCGGCCGCTCGCCTGCTTTTGAGGTTCTTGATGACCTCCCTTAGCTTCAGCCTATCGGCCAGCGGAAGGTCCGGTTGAACGCTAATGTTTGTACCTTCCAGCTTAAACGCAAACCGCATGAGAGCGCTGCGTTCCTCCGGGGTAGAGAGTACCACACGAAGTAGCCGCGGTCGAGGGTTTGGTACATTAACTGAGACGTTCCCCGGTCTGATCAGTTTCCTGACAGTAACGCCTGGAAAACCAGGCGGAAGTACCTTCATTACGCACATTTTAAACCATTGAAGGTCGTCCAAAATGCGATCAGCAGGAAGGACAGCAGTAGATTCAGCCCCGTTACGGAATATAACGCTACTATCCGTGAAAGAATCATGACGACGGGGTGTATTTACCTCACGGGTCTTTGATACGACACTTGGAGCAGGTGACCACCACTGGTGATGGGACTGTCCTTATTCCTCCAGATGATGTAGCCACGGCAGCGTGTTTTTCGCTCCATTGTCAATGTCTTATTTTTTCTGGTCATGGAGTCCACCGAAAGGCTTTATGGCAGATTTTGTCTGCTTTTTCTTCTTGATAACCGGGAGCAGGGTCCCGTGACGCTTTGTTGCTTCGAGCAGAGTCAAACAAACCGTCAGAACGTGCCCTATCGGTGCGAGCCGAGAAATCCGGCACCTTCGGCTGACCATAAACCGGGTCTTTTTAACCTGGACAAATGTTATTCCACTTTATTTGATTTGTTTGCTCAGTTCTGTTCTTTTGCTGCATATTCTATGTCAATCTTGCGTTGTTGCTTTCTCTCCAATTCTATGTTGGTTGTTTGATATCCCGATGTGGCTGCGCTTGATGTGTATGTTGACGAGGTGCCTACCTGTCTAACATCCTCCAGCTCGATTACTGGCTCCAGAAGACTGAATCGTTACTGGGAGAGGGGTGCACGGTCCTCGTGGCCGTGCTAAGTTTCATCCAATGTGGAGTGGACTGCGACCCATCCACCGCCTTTTGTACGTCTGATACATATGATTCCATACATAGATAGACAAGAATGCTGCTTCTTTGCATGTTGAAGGAATGTGGATCGGCTTTGTTGATGAAGTATGGCACCCATCCACATGCCTCCCGGTCTATTTCCTTCGGGTTTACACTGGATATGGGATGTGTGGATGGAGCTGTGGGTAATGCAGCTCAAGCCACCCATAGTCTCTCTGTAGGCGTAAGCGTCCTGTGGCTGTCCTATGGTAGCCACAGTGACAAGCAAATTCTGAACCGGGTGCCGCCAACCATGTCTGCCTACGTGTACTGTAGTAGCTGCTGCTCGAGTCGATCGACCGCTTTATCGATTAAGACAGCTCAATTTCTGCCGTTTTCTGATTCGCCATTATTTATCGCGCTTCACTAGCCTAAACTGTAATCGTCTGTTGAGGATTATCTAAAAGAGCGCTTTTCGTAACCTTGTGTTTTTGCAGTTATACAGACATTTATGGAAATTGTATCAATCAGTTCTGTATGGGCTAACAAACTGAGCCCAGCTCGTGGTCAGATGCTTCGGTGCACTTTCCATTAACTCTTTCGCGCAACAATATTGTTTCTGTTTGCGACTGATGCTGCAAATCCTCACATCGTTACCGAAGATCCGCCTGTATTCAATAAAGCTAGACGTAGGAATGATGCCCATGGGTATCGCCAATTCAAATGGTACACAGAATGTCAACAGAGTAGCGACCATGCGGCGACTACTGTGCGCCCAACGACTTAACCGTTCACGACCGCTATCTGATCTATCACACTCAAGACGTCACTGTGGCACTGCGCGTTATCGCAGATCGATCTGGTCCGCGCTTATCATCAAATCCCAGTCGCTGGAGAAGATATACCGAAGAGTGCTGTAATCACATGGTTTGGACTTCGAATTGTTACACATTTCCTTTGGTCTTCGCAGCACAGTTTAGACCTTTCAGCGATTCATATCAAGTCAAGTCAAATTAACCCTTATGAGTCCTAATGGGTTTTTCTGAGGTTACACCACCACTGCGAACAAACAAGATAATATTACCAATATAATTTACATACTTTTGGAGAACAGTGGAAAATCTACACGACTGTCACTCCAACAACCACTGGCTCAGCATGTTGGCAACTGGGTCGACAAACAAACGTGCTAGGTTGGAAATGGCAGTGTTGTGATACTATGACGTGTAGAAAAATCATATTTTAACTTTCGTACGCGTGGAAAAGAAAGCGTTTTTGTAGAATCACTGATGTGAATGAAATCGGTCAGTTAGTAACTTAAAAAATTGTTGCAGGCATCGATATGTATAGAAATGATCAAGTCAACTGAAGAACCTCTGGACTAGACGCTGTATCTAGAAATGTGCTTTATACATCGTACCATTGGGGATAATGCAATGGGTTACAAACTTTAATATTAAATTACGAGTTGCTAAGGGCGCCTTGGGTTTAAGGGCTTTGTCTTTTTTGAAAGTTTCACAGACATAAGTGGTGCAATAAAGGTTCTTGGGCAAAGGGACGCGGAGATACTTGACCGTGGATAATCTGGGTATGAGAAGTCAGTCCAAGTCATTTATATTGCTTTCAGGTTTTTGACAAGATGAATCATGAGGTCTTCGTCCACAGGCTGAGGATGTGCGATGTTGCTGGCTCGTTGCACCAATGTATCAGGAATTTCCTTGTTGGTCGAAAGTGGAGGATCCAGGTCGACAGCCATCTGACCGATTGGTATCCTTCGAGCAGTGGCGTACCCCAAGGCACTGTGATGGCGCCCATTTTATTCCTGATCCATATAAGTGATGTGCCTGAGCTTCTCCGTTCGTCTTGTGCGTTGTTTGCAGATGACTTGAAAATGCGAAATCAGCGCACTCGATGACCCTTACTTGCTTCAGCGGGATCTTGACTGACTCTTCATTTGGTCAACCTTCATGAGGTGAACCTTCTGGTAAATCAATGTAGTAAAGATTTAGCGGGTACAACATGTCGCCACCTGGCTAATCTGCACTTTAACTTTTATGACCTGTAGAGACCGGTGCACGAGACTAGCTCCTTACACCCTGTTTTATCGTCGATATTGGGTTGACCTCGTCATGACGCTCTGTTATACTCGCTGCTCCATATGAGCACACTAAACAGCATGCGAAGGGATCGGTACAAGCTTGTAGTACCGGATTTGGGGCGGGTCGCGCACCAACTCTGCTTTGAACGCAATCGAAGCAAAACCGGTGTCGGAATTCGAAAATTCCTTGATAAACACTGCGGGTTTGAAATCTTGGGAATGATCACTAACAGAATTCATCAGTATATCTGAGGGATTTTAGATGCAGCTACACAGAGATTTCTCTCCTTGTTGCTTCCATCCAGTAATCCGTAGTCTTCATCCATGAACGTTAGCTGTTGGTAATAAACACGCTTCAGCTGATGTGCCGCCGTACAAAAAGTGATGCTGATACTTCATGGGACCACAGAGTAAGCACAGATATTAACTTGCAAGTGGGTTTCCGATCGGCAGCAGGTATCGGTTGATGTAGTCTCTAATGTCCAGGTAAGCGCTGCACTTTGACCTGTCGGTAACAGAGTGCGCACGTTGAAACGTGATTTTTTTAATATGGGTCGTGAGCTCCAAATATAATTGAATCAAATACGTTTTTCCACTTGGTTGAACATGGGCTTGTCTACCGGACCTGAGGGACCCCCTGCGATTGCGTGAGTCGAAACTAGAAGACAAAGGACTATCGAAACAAGGCTTAGGATGACAAAGAATTGGGTGTTGAGAGCAGGAGGATAGAAGCGAAGTTGGAACCATCACGAATTTCTCCGAGGTGGCAAATATGCCTGCATACCGTCTCTTAATAGGAACCTCGGTTCTGACTTCATCAACAGTTATAGACGGTATGGAATTTTGCGGCTATGATGTCACTGGTGCCGTCGCTTTTGCTTTCTTCCGTCTCCTATTTACTCTATCATCTTTTGGTTTATCATGATTTTCATTTATCACAATAGCCATTACTGTGGCTGTTGCAAATGGATCGAATGCGGCCCATTGAACGATTCACACTCGCTTGCGGAACTGATTTTTTCCGTTTTCCTCTTCCATTCCCCTGATTTTATTATTCTTGGCATAACGACCTTATTACTTTCACCCGAGTCCTTCACTTTTCGTTGCTTTTTCTATACTTGAGTGACCCAATCAAACTAGCCTGTTACGTTGATCGATCCGTAAAGGACCGAAAAGTCCATTTTTACCGTTTTTTTAACCGTGCCACTGGCTCCGGATCCTTAGTTGATTTACATTTTTGCCGTACTTTTTCAGTTTCGATGAGAGTGAATGCAACATCTGCATTTGGTACGTTTTTTCCGATCTTGTAGCTAGATTGCCACAAACCAGATATTGAGCTTTTGACGTATGACTCTATTGACACGTCAAACTTGTACCCTAGGGTCAAAGAGTTTACCAGCGTTTCACTTTCCAAAGAAGAGGAGGTAACTGTCGTCTTACTGCCGTCAAATCACTTTATAATTAGATCGAATGGTTGCTAAAGGCCATCGCGTTGCTCGATCTTACCACTCTTGCTGGCGACGATACAGTTACTAATGTGCATCGTTTGTGCTCAAAAGCCAAACGCCCATTGAGTGCGTGTATCGCGGAAAGGCTGACAAGTGTTCACGATTGGGATTTGACAGATTTACGCAAGTTTCAACTTTGTCAAGTCATCTCTAGTTGTAGGAACGGCTGCGGTGTGCGTTTACCCGAACCAGGTGAAAATATGCCGCCAGTTTTTCAACGAAATCGGGTCTGTTGATTTCCCCGTCGCATCCGGTACTGTTATGCTGATCAGTTTCTCATAATTTTGTTCGGTGTAGTAGCCGCCGGTTTCCCTTCTGGTCAGTATCCTCTGGAGACTCGATTGAGTGAAATTATCATTGCTGTAAACGATGGCTCTTCTGAAATAGACACTGTAATCAACCGGACGCTCGCGCTTCAAAAGAACTGGAAAGGTAGGTATTTTTGGCTTACTCACTTCTCGGGGATCTAGCTGTTGTCGATCTTAGTATTTTCTTATATCGTAGTCTCCGGCCACCGGACGATATTCGCACGTTCTCGCGACTCATCGATCTACATTTTAGGACTCCCTTCTAGACGGCTTAAACTCTGCTTTGAACCAGTTATGAAAAATTATCAGGTCACTGAAGTGTGGTGAATCACGTGACTAAGATGCTTGATTATGTCACGACGGCTGTTAGAGTTATCCGATATGGCACAGTCACGAATTCAGTGGCGCTCTTGCCTGTGGTCTTGCTGCTGATCTCTTCAACTGGCAATTGTATTTAAAAATGTGAGAATATATCTGAGGACTTCCATCAACTGGCTGTAGAACAATGTCGGACGGTAGCCGGAAGGATTACACGTTTGCTTTTTGCCTGGAAATCATCTGTTCTAATCCGCTAGATGCGGGCGACCTCACGGTATATGTGGCCCACGTGCGACTTGGTGGTCACATGACAGCGAAGCATCAGTACGATGTACAGGCGTACTAGTGATGCCTAGTTGAGTTTCAGCAAGCTGAGCAGGGTGAGTAAATTCAACATCTCATTCAAGCACGAAGTCGATCCGTTCCGATAATGTGTCGCGCCAGTCGAGCTTTGGCGGATGGGACGAACATCATACTCGGGCAGCACCAGCCCAATGTAAATCATATATGAAGTCTCGTTATCGCCTTGGCAGAAGAAAGGTCTGTGCACACGTCATTTGCTTGCATATATCCGGTTGCCACATTCGAAGCATTGTTATCTGTTTAACGAAGCAACGAATGATTAACTTGAGTGCCATGATCGGCGATTTATGACCTGGTATCATCTTATATTTGCAGACTTTGGCTTCGGAGGATCTTCCGTTTCACTTCGCTGCTACGCCTCCCATCACTTTTGTTCGGATGTTTCACTAACTCTAAGTGTTAACGGCGAATCACGTGAAGTACCTACCATTGGATCTCGTGGGTCTTATCCGGTGACGCATTCTTGATTTGATGTTTTCGACCTGCACATAATAACAATCTGATGGAGCGCATCCATTTTGATGCAATTATAACTGCTTCACTGCCTTGCTTATCCAGTGCCTATCTGTAACTGTCTGAGGCTTTCCTCGGTCTACCTGAGTTTATTTTGTAAGACTCATTCGGTGCCAAATGTATCGCATGTTGGGTTCGATTTTTTGAATGGGGCAACGCCGTTTGCTGAGCGCCTCGGCTGATCTCCATAGCGCGACTGCAGTGTGTGCTGCATCCTTCTTTTCCTTAACTAACAACGCCCATCAGTGTCTTTTTTATGGTTAAGACACAAGGAAATGTTTTGTTGTACAAACTAGTAGTTTCCTGCATTCATCTGTCTTCGGAACCCCGCTTATCTGCAAAACCGCGTATGTAACTCCGCTTGGTGACGAAATGTCTGCAGCAAAGCTACCAGGCTCAACGAGCACTCCAACCACCAGCTGAGACATCTGATCTACCGATACTTGTTTTGTATCAAAGTTTCTTTTATCCTACAGACTTTTATCGGGTCCAATCATTTATACTCACCTAAACACCTAAGTGCGCGATCAGAATTTTTTCAACTTACTCCTCAGTGCTTTTACCACACTCCTATTTTCCAGCTGTTTATAATGAAGTGTGCGCAATGCGTGCCGCTTGCGGTGATAAGGTGCGTTTGAAGACCATTTTGGCAACTGGTGAACTGGGCAGCTATGAGAACGTGTACGCTGCGTCTATGGTCTGCATGCTAGCCGGCGCAGACTTCATCAAAACGTCAACCGGGAAGGAAGCTGTGAACGCCACTCTACCCGTTTCTTTGGTCATGCTTCGCGCGATACGTGACTTTTATGATGTATATGGCATCAAGGTATTCAACTGATTCCCTAATGCGTCTATTCATCTGGTCACGTTTTAATCTGCACTCCCCCTTTTGATTGCCTTAGCCATAAGAATGTTGCCTGTCGCTTACCACTAACTGTTGATCCCCTTCAAGTGATGAGGGCTAAACGGGCTTTGTGATTTCCAGCTCCACCTTCTTAGTCTAATGTGAACCCTTATAGCTATGACCCATTTACGAATTCGGTCTCTGGCAACCATATTTTCCGTGGATGTCTCGCGTATAGTTTATACTACTGTATACGTGCCATGACTGTACTCATTTACTGGTGGGAGTCCATTGCCACGAAACGGTCTCACTTTACTCTACATACACTGCAACCCAGTTATTGGAATATAGCTGACGTTTGTGACTGTAGTGGTTCTGTGGTTGTGGCACTGCTTGCTCACTGAAACTGAAATTCATCCGTTAAAAGTTAATTTGCTGAGCCATCAGATCATCATGGTTTTAGTTGCACGCAACACTAGAACGACGATTCCTGTGTCGCATTTCGCAAACTTGACAAAATACTCTCCATTCATTAACGTTTGTGTTTGGGGTTCGTCTGTTGTTGAAACGAGCGACACTGGCTTTAAAGGTACCTAATTGCCATGTGTTGCTACTAACAAGTAAGGAAACTCATACCAGCTAACGAATAAGAATACAGCAGAGGCTAGAAAAGAAAGCGCTTTTATTATTGAATGGAGTGGTTGGCAGTAAGCTGGCAGGGGCTGTACAAAGATGGCACTTAATTTATAACTGAATTGCCGTTGTGACCCATCTGGAGACCCTCATCCACTGAGCTGAAATGCACCCACTTTGGCTCCCGATCGACTTCTTTATGCAGCGCCGTCTACCTACCCATTTGGGACTCCACCCAACCAAACGTAGCGGCGGCAAAAATGCTCCACCGAGGAGTAAGACGTTAGGCATGCGAAGAAATTAGCTAGCTTACGTAGGCGGTTCTCCTTCACTGGAGGATATATTTCGGCACCAACTTTACCTCCGAGCGCTAACAATTCGCTGCTCACATGGCGGCCCCACCAAATGCCAACGATACTTCTTAATTCCAAACATAAAAATCTGAAGACGTAGCTTATGGGATGACACCGTCATTTCGTATATTCTGATCAATAAAAAACCGCGTTGGAACCTAAACGGTGATCAAAGATAGCAAAACGCATGCGCTACTACGGTAGGCTTAGAACCAAGACATTGTTAAATGTCTGAACAGCATGCTGGTGCCCATAAGAAAACCCATAGCAAAACACACTCAGCTTTCCATTTTATAATTGCAAACTTCTGATGAGATTTATCGAAAAGAGTGCTCTTCGCAATCTTGTGTTTTAAATACATTGGCACGCACTTTTGAAATACTCCCTTGTCTGAATTTGACCGGAAAGCGAATGTGCTCTTTTGATGTTGTCTTTTCACCAACATCCCTTTGAATGAGACTGTTGATTACTTGTGTGAGTTTACATCAACACATAACGTTAGGCTTCAGCTTCCTACTGAATTGTTAAACAACATGATTCTTTTGTACACACAAAGTACTAAGTCTTAACAAATGGAACATTCCCAGTGATTCATCAAGAACACCAGCCTGAGGCAAACAATTGTTTTCTATGATTCATCTACGCGCCGGTACAATCATATAAGGTTAAACTACAAAGAGATGGATAGTGATTGGTCCGGTGCTTTGTTCTGAAATGACTCGATCAATGGTTAGACAGCGAATAGTTCGCCACTGTCCCATTCACACAGACGAATTGAGGGTTGCGTTATCACAATGCTTGAGCCGATGTCAGGGTGACGGCTGGGCTGATGGCTGTACTGCCAGGGTAGGTATAGAGATTGAACAAATTTCTTTTGCGAGCACAGTGGGGGTTGGCATATGCGGATCGAAATGGCCTCTGCAATTGCGAGCATCCTTAACTACGTACTTTTGCATTTGCTCATCGCAGCCTGATAAATCACAGTAAATGCATTCGGGAGGTTAATCTGGTGACCTGATTCGAACACATGGGACAAAATACCGCTTGTAAGCACTCCGGTGCCCCCGTTCAACAACCATTTAGGGCTATGTTCCCTAATGCGACGTGACAGTTGACGGGCCGTCCGACCAAAATATGTTGCCCCACAAGTGCACTCAAATCGATAGATAATGTAAGAAGAGGGCAGCTTCGACAGGCTGTCCTTGTTACACACAGGAATTAGCTGGTTCGTGGCGAAGATGAATCGTAATTTCACAGCCGGAAAGGTGTTCCTTGTCGCTTGCGTCAGTTTTCTTGTTAAAAGCTCACTAACTGTATCACCTTTAAAACCAAGGCGGATGAAGAGGGCCTTTTTCGCGACTACGTCCTCAACGACCGGTGTTAGTTTGGGCTGCATATTGCGCTGAATGAATCTTTCTGAATAACCATTTTCGCGGAACGTGTTCTGGATGGATTTCATCTCATCCTCCAGAGCGTCCTCTGAGCATCTCTCCCGCCCTTGAGGTGAGACAATGTACTTAGTTACGCTCGTATTTAAGCGGTACAAAACTACCGAAGTTTGTATACTGACTGGTCCACGTCTTCCTTCTGTTGGTCTTCTTTAATATGGAACCGTCAGTTCGTCTACTAAGGTGTACATCCAGGAATCAGAGTTGACCACTTTGTTCAAGTTCGTAGGTGAACTTAATCGCCAGGTGCGCACCGTTAAACTACCAATATATCCTTCGGATATATCTTTATGGGTCACACAAAAGGTCATCCATATAGCGATGGTAATGCTCTAAACGATCTATAAGTGGACCCATTGATTCAGTTTCTAGTTTGGCAAGAAGAATATCTGCCAGTACTGGTCCGAGTGGGGACGCCATTGCGACCCCATCATTCTGCCGGTAATACATGCCGTCGAAAAGAAACTGCGGGGTGTAGGTGCATCTCAGAAGTAATTCTTACAGATACAGTTAAACCAATCCTGTTCTCGTGCACATAGTTGCATAGATATCCTATTATCTTTAGTAGCGGACATTCGTGAATAGAGAAGCTACATCAAGTGAGAACATCTTATCCTTCAGGTTCCCATCTCTAATGTGCGCTACCAATGTAAAACTATCCCGAACACTACGTTGGGCAATTCGTTTTCTTATTGGCTCCAACAATTCTGCCAACCACTGGGCTGGAGGATGACAGCGGAGTTTGTCGTGGACAATATTGGGCGTAGAGGTCCACCTTCTTTGTGAACTTTTGGCAGTTCATACATTCGCGGGATAGATGTTCCAACTTGCCTCAGACTTTCAAACAGACTACCAGATATAAAACCGCAGGTGCTTAGATCTTTCATGCATTTTGTCAGGTTTTGTTCCGCTTTGTCTGTTTGATCCTTCTCGCCTACCTTTACACAAAACTTCGTTTTGTCTCGGAGAATCTGCTTTACTTTCGTTGTGTATTCCCTTCTATCCATTGAGACTATGCCACTCCTTATCTGGCTTGCAGTTGACTATATCACTGTTGTTTTTTAACTCTCGGGGATTTCAAATGTTTACGAGCAATCAGACCGCGTCGATCCACCTGGTAGTTTCGATATTGGTAACAGCAAGTGACCAACGACTACTTGAAACATTCTAGATCACTGATGGGTAGTAGTGAGTCTTTTGGTATAATTCAGCTAATTCATCATTGTCACTGCCAATCAACAGGTTTGGGCAGGTCTGGAAAAACCCCAGACGCTGGCGTTTCGACCTTCTGGGTCTCGTCAGTGGTACGCCTCCCAGCGAACCCCTGCCGAGTTCCGCGCCCATGACTTCAGGATGCAAGCGGCTAGTGTCATTTCGTCATGCATGAAAGCCGCGGAGCTGCGTGATTAACAGTTGACTATGATATAGCCCGGCTCATCTTCCACTGCCATGCGAGTTACGGACTGTGCAGAGGACGGTAGCTAGCCTAATGAGACATTGATGCAGTCATAGCCTACAGCTTCGCAGATGGTTCAGAAAAGGCAATCGCACATGCAGCCGCAGAGCGAAATTATGGCCAGATAGAGAACGAAGCCTTGGCGATAGTCTACGCTGCAAAGAAATTTCACAAAATGCTGTATGGAAGGAAGTTTACACTTCTTACTGACTATAAGCTGCTGCTGGCAGTTTTCGGATCAAAGTCGGGCATCCCTGTCTATACGGCAAACTGGTTGCAGCGGTGGGCTACTACATTACTCGGCTACGAGTTTACGGTGAAGCACATTTCTACAAAAGACATTGGTCAAGCTGATGCACTTTCTCGGTTATTACAAAGCCAGCAGTGCCAGCAAGAAGAATCTAGCATTGCAGCGATTTCTCTGGGGTCGGAAGTGAATTAGGTGTTATTGGAAACGCGCAGAGAACTTCCGGTAACTTTTGAAATGGTACGTGATGCATTAATGCGGGATCCTGTCCTACAACGAGCGGTCAGATTTTATACTGCACAGTGGCCGAAAGACAATCTAAATAGGGAATTGCAGAGCCCATCCCAGAGAAAAGACGAATTATCCGTCGTCAATGGCGGAAAGAGTTGTTATCCCTAGTGAGCTTCGCCAAAGAATTCTACGACAGTTTCATCGTGGACACCCTGGCATTAACAGAATGAAAATGATTGCGCGGAGTTACGTTTACTGGCCGAATATCGACTCGGAGCTGGAACAGCTAGCGAAATCGTGTCCGAAATGTGCGCCTGTAAGCAAGGCGCTGAGGAAAGTGTAATTGTATTCTTGGCCGTCGCCAACGAAACCGTGGCGGCGAGTAGACGCGGATTTCTTTGGTCCCGTGAATGAACACCAGTATCTCATCGTTGTTGATTCCTTCAGTAAGTGGCCGGAAGTCTTCTGCATGGAGCGCATAACAAGTGACCCAACCATTGGCGTACTGAGAAGACTTTTCGCCCAACGGGGAATACCAGAGACCCTGGTTACAGACAATGGCCCTAAGTTTGCATCTTCGCAGTTCGCCGAATACTGTACTCAGAACGGTCTCA